CTGGCCCACCTGGGTCACACCCTGGGGTGGCCGCGCTGCGAACCCGGGTGACCAAGGGCGAGTGGCCCCCACACCGATGGCCTCTAACAAGGTGTGGGAGGTCCAGGCAATCGGGGATCTGGGCGTAGTGACTTTGGGCCTGTTCCCCTCCTGGGACGCGGCGGGTCCACAGGGTGCTGGGTGCTGGGTAAAGGTGACCCAGGCAGCCGCCTGTGCTGCAGCACCGTGAGGGGTGACGGGCCCTTCGCTGTGGTCAGGAGACTGCGCCCCTGTCCTGACTCCTCCTGGACAAGCCCCTTCGCCTCCGGGCCTGTTTTCTTCATCTGTGAAAGGGGCATGCCCTCCGAGGACCAGGCCGGGCACCTGCGCGCCTGCTGCCTTAGACACGGGCTCAGAGACCGCGAGGCCTTCCCGAGGCCGGGAGAGGCGCTGGGGCTGGAAGAGCAGGTGTGAACCGCCTGTCCCCAGGGCCACGTCGCCAACATGCCCTGGCAACGCCAGCTTGTGCGCCTGAGGGGTGGATCTCGGGGAGAAAAACAGGTCCATGGGGCGCCTTCCTGAACCAGAGGAACAAGAGGTTGTTCCAGGTGACCACAGTGAACGTGGTGATCAGCAGAACCAAGAGGGGTTTGCGGAGGGCGGAGGAGTGGCTGGCCAGGCCCTGCTTCCCTGGCATCAGGGGCAGCCCCAGCTCCTAGCTCGGGCCTCGTTGCCTCGGTATTTGAAACAGCTCTTAGCCGGCTCTCAGGACCCACTCGAGCCCATTACAATGTCCTTTGCAGAAGGACCCGAGGACTCAGAGACGCTCAGATGTGACTGGAGAAGAGGGCGCAGTGGGAGCGGGCATCTCCGTCCTGCTTCTCAGCGCCGACCCTCCGCCCAGGACGCTGGCTCGGCGGCCTCCCTAACCTGCTGGTGCAGAGTGAGCAACAGTTCCGTGCAGCTGAGCGCTTACTGCGTGCGGCCCGGCCAGCAGGGGCGGGAGACCTGGGTCAGACACGGAAGTTTATGGACCTGGGTGAGACACGGAAGCTTATGGACCTGGGTGAGACACGGAAGCTTATGGTTTATTGATTTTTTAAAGTGTTAAAATTTTTTAAAATATATTTTTATTGATTGTAGAGAGAGAGGGAAGGGAGAGGGAGAGAAACATCAATGTGAAATAGAAACACCTTTAAAACTACGTAAGATGACAAGATTGCCTTAAAAATTATAAAATGCCACAAGCAGAAAGGGAACGGTCCTCAATTCCTGGGCATCCCCTGTGCATAGGCCCCCTTCCACTCCTCATGGCCCTGGGAGTGGAAATCAGAGTACTAGTAGCTGCCGTCTGTGGGGCATAGAGGATATGCCAGACCCAGCCTAAGTGCTCTAATCCTTAGAACACACCGAGTATATATCTCCATTTTATGATGATAAAACAGAAACAAAAAGATTAAGTAACAAAGCTCAGGCCTGGCACAGGTGTGGTGGTGAGGAAGCTGACCCAGGCCGGGTAAGGAGGAGCAGAGATCCCCCTTTTGTAGCTGCCGTCTGTGGGGCATAGAGGATATGCCAGACTCAGCCTAAGTGCTCTAATCCTTAGAACACACTGAGTATATATCTCCATTTTATGACAATAAAACAGAATCAAAAAGATAAGTAACAAAGCTCAGGCCTGGCGCAGGTGTGGTGGTGAGGAAGCTGAAACCAGGCCGGTAAGGAGGAGCAGAGATCCCTTTTTTTTTAATGATTTCAGAGAGGAAGGGAGAGGGAGAGAGAAACATCAATGATGAGAGAGAATCATTGACCGGCTGCCTCCTGCAGGCCCCCTACTGGGGATCAAGCCCTCACCTGGGCATGTGCCCTTGACTGGAATCGAACCCGGGACCCTTCAGTCCGCAGGCCAATGCTCTATTCACTGAGCCAAACCGGCTAGGGCTTTCGGGGAGTGGGAGCTGCAGGGGGAAATTAGGAGGGGGAGTGTGGTGGGTTTGGCAGTAACGGGATCAGAGCTCTGCTCTGCCAGGCGGACGGTTAACCTGGTGGGACTTGCAGGACTGGAGGAGACCTAGTCAGGACTGGAGGCTGTCCTTCTGCAAGGCGCTGGGGAGCGCTAACCTTTAAAGCCAAGGCCTTAGACTCAGCAATCAGCAGGGCTGGTCCCCTACTTTTGCAAGCGTTAAGTAGCCTGAGGCCCACAGAAGGGATTTTCCACCATCACTCAAGAGAGAACCAGCTGTAGGAGCATTGCAGCCCAGCCTCCGTGAGAGGCCAGTGCGCGGGAAGGTCTTGGGGCAGCCCAAGGAGCCCCAGGCAGCTCCAGGGGGAGGATGTCGGAGATGAAACCCTGCTTCCTAGGACCTCTCCCCGCACGAGAAAGTAGTGGGTGGATGGGATCAGCTTTGGCGAAGGGAGAGAAGGGCGAGCAGGACTGGTCCTTGGAACATCTGATGGGAAACCAAGAGCTGCAACCGGTTCTGGAGGAGCAGGAGGGGTCTTGTTGGACCTTTACATTCTTAGGGCCCTTTGGGGATGGGGGAGAGAACTGGGACTGAGGGCTGGTGCAGGGCTGTCCACTGATGCTGCCCCTGACTCGTCTGCTCATTCATTCTTTCATGAATATTTGAGTGTCTACTTTGTGCCACACATTGTTCGAAGCCTTCAAGATAACTAACAGCCCGGCTGGTGTGGCTCAGTGGTTGAGCATCAAGCTATGAACCAGGAGGTCATGGTTCGATCCCCCTCTGGGTACATGCCTGGGTGTGATGTGCAGGAGGCAGCCAATCAATGATTCTCTCTCATCATGGGTGTTTCTATCTCTCTCTCCCTCTCCCTTCTTCTCTGAAATCAACACAAATATATTTTTTTTAAAAAAAGAAGAAGAGCCCCCTCCTCTCCGTCCCCTCTTCTCCCTCATCCTGCAGGAGAGGGATTCGGGTCCCTGCCCTGTCAGTTTGGGTTGTAGTTGTGCAAAGAGAAGTGGCAGTCAAAGCCTTATCCTCCAAAGCAGAGAAGTGCTCCACCCTTTATACACTCAGTCCCCCCACCCCCCATGAGGTTCAGGAAGAGGAGCCACGGGAGGCTGCGGATGACTCAGTCCCATGGTAAACAACCCTGGGAGGAGGCCTGGCTCCAGGCCCCGGTGAGTGGTGAGTCGGTGAGTCACTCCCCAGCTTCCTTGTTTCCCAAGGCTCAGGAAGACCCTGGGCCCAGGCCTGCCCCCTGGTGGCCATGCCGGCTCTCTCAGTCCGGCCGCCTGCTGTCTGTGCTGTGGGACACCAATGGGAGTGCGGGCCAGGCAGGGCCTGTCCCCAGGAGACTCATTAAACCACTGCTGGCCGAGGCAGCCTGGAGGGGCCCAGTCCGGCTCACACTTCAAGGCCACTGTTGGCTGGCAGGGCTGGCAGGTCACCGTGGGCCGTCATCGGGCCCCATGAGATTTCACACTGCACGCCTCCCAGGCCGCCAGGGCCACCCAGGCTGGCTTGCTCCCCTCTCCTGGTGCCCAAGGCCTGGGTTAAACATTAGTGGGAGGTTATCAGCTGGGTTCGGGGCGGGAGAAGGTAGTTACACTTTCACCGCGTCCGCTCTGCGGGAGCCACCGTCCCCACCGGGCCGGACGATGCCTGTGGAGGAGTTTGTGGCCGGCTGGATCTCCGGTGAGACCTCTTTCCTCCCCCTGTCACGTCCCCCCAGTGGTGGGTCACTTCCTGGGGAAGGTAGGTGACATAGGAGGAGCTGAGGCCAAAGTCCTGGCTCCCCGAGTGTCCGGGGCCAGCGGTCCCAGAGCCTGCTGGGAGTCGTGTGAGGGAAGAAGCCAGGAAGGCACAGGTGGCAGGGTGCTGTCCCAAGGCCCCGCTGCCTGACACCTGCCAAGAGGGGGAGCCAAGGTGAGCGTCTCCCGGAGGCACCCACAGCACCTGCACCTCGAACCCCGCTCTCCCAGTGTGGGGCTCAGAAAGAAGTTCACCTTTGACCTCACCTGCTGTCCCGTGTCCCCCTTTCGGCCTGTGCCCTGCCTGGCAATGAACGGAGGCCCGGATCCTGAGGCCGGTTGCGCTATAGGCCCAGCTCAGCTTCTGGGGACACTTCTCTTAGGAGAAATAGAGGGACTTTCTGAACCTGCCTCGGGGGATGCGACCTCTCCCCAGGCTCCAGGACCAGCCTCTGCTGCAGAGAGCAAGCCCAGGAGGCGGGGAGATGGCCGGGGGCTGCGCCCTCCGCCCCTGGGGCCAGCGAGACTCCCCTAAGGACGCACTGCAGGTGGACAGGGCAGAGCGCCGGTGGGGCAGGGCCTGGTCTGGACCAAGGCCCCAAACTGGACAGTGGTTGTGAGTTGATGGGAGGGAGGAAGGGAGGAGCGATGGAGACCCCTCCAGAGTCATGGCTAGAGAAGCCAGCAAGACACTGGGGTGTGGGCGCCCAGTGAGGACCCCAAGTCTGTGGTTGGCTTCTCCCTTCTGCGAGCGTGCCCTCAGGCCAGGTTGGGGCGCCCTCCTGTTGTCCCCTGGTCCCGTCCCTTCCCAGCCCAGCGCCTGGTGCGGAGGCGCATGGGGCCAGCGGGGTTTCTGTGGAGCCTGTGGAAGGCCCTGCCCTCTCTCCTGCCTGAACCTCTCTTTCCTCTCAGCGCAGACTTGCTCCCTCAGCCTGGGGCTTGGCCTCACCTATAGCACCTTCTTGTCACTACAGGAGCACTGGGCTTGGTGCTGGGACACCCCTTCGACACTGTGAAGGTGAGTGTAGGGGAGGCGCCCGAGGAGGGAAAGATGGCACCTGAACCGAAGGGCAGGCTGCCCCGAGGGCAGGGCCTGGGTGACAGGCTCCTTCCTGCCTCTGCTGCCCCGCGGGCGTCCCGCTCTGTCCGTCCTTCCGGTCCTTCCCGTCCAGGTGCGGCTACAGACCCAGAGCACCTACCGAGGCATCATCGACTGTACGGTCAAGACTTACCGCCATGAGTCGGTGGGTGCCTGCTTCTCCGGGGCTTTGGGGTGGGAGGCATCTGAGCGTCAGTACCAGCTCCCTCCTCCCAGGCGGGGCTCCGTCCTTGGGAGAGAGAAGACCCAAGTCTGGGGCTCCCGCTGGGGCTGGGTGGTAGCTTCGCGCCTCCGCCGCTGGGCTCAGTGTGGTTCCAGCAGGAGGAGGCCTGGCCGGGGCTGGGAAGGGCCAAGGGGAGGCCCAGGTCCCCCACCCCCCACCCCAGGGCGTCCTCCCCCTGCAGATCCTGGGCTTCTTCAAGGGCATGAGCTTCCCCATCGCCAGCATAGCCGTGGTCAACTCGGTCCTGTTCGGGGTCTACAGCAACGCCCTGCTGGCGCTCACGGCCACCTCCCACCACGAGCGGCGCCTCCAGCCGCCCAGCTACACGCACGTCTTCATAGCCGGCTGCACCGGGGGCTTCCTCCAGGTCAGGGCGGCGGGGGGCATGCGCACACGCACACGCACAGGCACATGTGGGCGCAGAGGTGGTCAGTTCGGTCTTGCCCCTCCCAGCCACATCTGCGGACCCACAGCTGCAGGCCATGGCTGTCCCCCCCGCCGGAATGTGAGAGGCGGAGGGGAAATGGCAGCTCCTGCTGCTCCCAGCGGCCTGGCCTGGCTGAGCAGGCCGTCCACCCTGCAGGCCTGGAGGGCGGGTGCAGAACAGGGGGGGCCAAAGCAGAGAGAGCTCAGGGGGGTGGGCGGGGGAGATGGTGCTGAGAGGACACCATAGAGCAGCCGACGCCCCACTCTGAGGTGGACAGGGCTTGCCCACCTCCGGGGGGGGTCTGCCAGCCTCAGCTGCAGGAAGGCTCTCTCCAAGGGGAGCCCTGCCCTGACGTGGTCCTGGCTCTCCCCGCCCTGCCCTGCTCAGCCCCTGTGCCTGCAGCCTGGGCGGCTGGGAGTCACCGGGCCTCAGTCCACAGGTCTCGCTGGGAGAGGCCCCGGGAATTAATCATTAAGTGGCCCCAATCATTTGTTTTCGGTCTTTGTTCTCAGCATTTAAGTACCTGGGCTTTTGAGGGGTGGGGTGGGGGGAAGGGGGACCTCCAGGCACCCAGGGAAACCCCAGCTGAATGGGGGTTCCGAGCATAGAGGCAGAGGATATGTGCCTGCCCCTGCCCACACCTGCCAGGCGCCTCAGGTCACCCTCTAGTTGGCATCTGCCCTGATGCTCCTGACAGACTCGCAGGCAGAGAGCAAGGACAAGGAGCAGGCCGCGGGCTCACTAAGGTGAATTAATAACTCATGAGACCCCCAAAGGGCCTGGCTTTTCTCCTGCCCCTCTTTGCAAGGCGCGTGCCTGCATATTTCCCACGCCCGGAGACCTGGCACCCCCAGAAACAAGGAAGAGAACTGAGGCTCCAGGCCAGGCGGCCTGATTTAGGCCCAGCCAGGCCCAGCGCCTGAGCCAGCCTCCCCCCAGCTCTTTGGAAAGTAGAACAGATAACAGTCCTGGGGACTGGGGGTGGCGATGGGGACTGGGTCCGGGGACCGACTGCAGCCGCTTGCTGTGGAGCCTCTGACTTCAGTCTTGGGGCAGAAAGTGTGTCTTGTGTGGAGGTGGGAGGGAGGCTGGGCAGGACTCGGGTTAGCACAGGGCAGACTGACAACCTCTGCTGGGCACGAGAGTTGCTTTGGGCTGGCGAAGGCTGACCCCGTCACACAGTGCAGCAGAGCCTGATGTCCCCACTGTCCCCGTCGGCCTGGGATGGGGAGGGTGGGCCCTCCCTGCCACCCTACCTTAGGCCCAGCCATCCCCTCAGCTTCTGGAGCCGAGGGCTTGGGAGCCTGCGACATCAGGGCCCCTCTCGCAGGGGAGGAAGCCGGCCGACTTGGCCTCCACCCTCTAAAGATCATTGCCAGAGCCTCCGCCAGTCTCCTCTGTCATCAGCCATCTCCAGGCTGAGGGACTGAGCCCTCGCACCTCACCCACACACACACACACACACCTCATGTCGCCCCCAAATGCTGCGCTAACCTCGCGCTATGGCCTCAATTCTCTCCTCGCTGATCTTGACCTGGTTGACTCCCTGACTCACACCCCAGCCCCTCCCCAACCACCCTCCATGTCCTCCCAGCACCCACCTAGGTGCCAGTACCACCCCGACTCTGAGTTCCGGGTGCCTCAGCCAGTGATAAGAGCTCTAGGACCTACAGACGCACGGCCACCCACGTGCTGTTGGGCACCAGTAGCTGAGGGTGTGTGAGAGGCAGGAAGGGCTGGCCCAGCGCTTGCCCCCTGAGAGGTGTGCACAGGAGGTGGGGGCTGAGACCCCAACATGAACACGGTGACCTACTTACCCTGTGCGTGAGCGCAGACTGCACCCTTTCTTCAGACCCCGTCACCGCTCAGTCCTGGGTTCGGGGAGGATCCCTGGCCCATCCCCAGCTTTGAGTATGAGAAGCTGAGCGCTGGCAGCGGGCGGTCCTGCGGGAAGATGCCCTCTGCCTTCCTCCTCCTCCTCAGCACAAGCTGGCCCCGCCCGGGCCTTCACCCTTCTTTCCCTGCAGGCCTACTGCTTGGCCCCTTTTGACCTCATCAAAGTTCGGCTACAAAACCAGACAGAGCCAAGGGCGCGGCAGGGGGGCCCCCCACCCCGGTACCGGGGGCCCGTGCACTGTGCGGCCTCCATCTTCCAGGAGGAGGGGCCGCGGGGGCTGTTCCGGGGAGCCTGGGCTCTGACGCTGAGGGACACCCCCACACTGGGAATCTACTTCGTCAGCTACGAATGGCTCTGCCGCCAAGCCACGCCAGACGGCCAGAACCCCAGTAAGTGAGGTGCTGTGAGAGGGTGGGGGGCAGAGAGGAGTGAGGTGGGGAGCTGGTCCAGCGAGGAGGAGGGGGGAGGCGAGGGCAGGGGAGGGTGTTCCCGGGTCTGACCCTGCCCCGGCCTCCCGCGACCCCAGGCTCAACCACAGTGCTGGTGGCAGGGGGCTTTGCAGGCATCACCTCCTGGGTGACCGCCACCCCCTTGGACGTGATCAAGTCGCGGATGCAGATGGCCGGGCTGGGGCAGAGGGAGTACCAGGGGCTGCTGGACTGCATGGTGAGCAGCGCCCGGCAGGAAGGCCTGGGGGTCTTCTTCCGGGGGCTGACCATCAACAGTGCCCGCGCCTTTCCTGTCAACGCCGTCACCTTCCTCAGCTACGAGTACCTCCTCCACTTGTGGGGATGAGGCTGCACAGGCGCTGCCCGCAGCTCCCCAGGTGGGACGGACCGCCACCCACCTGCCCAGGTCGGAGGCCAAGTGGAAAGCACCAGGTTGAGATTTCAATGCAAGAGTCTCAGCCTTCCTGTCGAGGCACCTCCCGGCCTGGAAGGTGCAGATGGGGCTGGGGAGGTGGTGAGGAGCAGGCCCCGCCCCCATCCTGATTCCTTCGTAAACAACTACCTTAAGCGGTGGTGCTGGAGACATCCCGGCCACCTGTGACCTTACCCTCCACTGCTGCCTGGCTGCTAACTCTCCCCTGGATTCCAGGGCGGCGCCCTCAGCCGCCTCCCACCCCATCTCCTTTCCCACCTCTCCCCCCTGACTCAAGTGTGGCCTTTACACCTCCGGCTGTCCACATCCTTCAGCGACTCCCACCCCCTCCAGGGAAAAGCCCGAACTCCACCCCTCCTGATGGGGCACCTCCCTCCGCCAGCTCCCTCTCCCTCAGCAGCTTCGGCAGCCTAGCCCTGCCCCAGCACAAGCTGTGCCCCTCATCACCCCCAGCCTGGAAGGTCTAGTCCAGTGATGGCGAACCTATGACATACATGTCAGAGGTGACACGCTAACACATTTTTTTGGTTAATTTTTCTTTGTTAAATGGCATTTAAATATATAAAATAAATATCAAAAATATAAGTCTTTGTTTTACTATGGTTGCAAATATCAAAAAATTTCTGTATGTGACACGGCACCAGAGTTAAGGTAGGGTTTTTCAAAATGCTGACACGCCGAGCTCAAAAGGTTCGCCATCACTGGTCTAGTCCCTCCCGGCCAACACTGGGCATTGCCAAGGGGTGACTCCATCATCCCTCTGGCTGGGCCCCTCCCAGACCCAGACTGAGCTCTGTCTCCTGGTCCCTCCTCGGCTCCCCAGGCTGACTTTGGGGTCTGCAGATCACCTTGACCACAGCCCTACCTGTGTCCTGGTGGCCGATTGACTTCTCAGCTTCCCCATTAAACGGGGAGCTCCTCGAGGCAGGGGTAGCACACCTGATCATTTCCCAGCTCGGAGCCTGTGCTCAGAGCAGCCCGGTAAATGGCTGCTGAAGGCAGTGGCATTGCGCTAACTCCAAGCACCCCACTTGCTTCCGTGGTCCTGCCCCTGCCTCCACCCCCGCCAGCCCCTCACTGAGAGCTGTGAGTGTGCCGGCAGCAGGGAGTCCGTGGCACAGGCTTTCTTTACTTATCTCAGTTGCCCAGTGGGCATGAAAACTGGCGGAGGGTTCATTTAACTGGCAATAAAGCTGAGCAGGGTTTGTACCCACTAATCTGTCTGCGATCAAACTGGGCCCCCCTCGTGGTGACCTGAATGCCTGGATCCCTGCCCTTTCCCGTTCGCTGCCTAGAAAGACAATCGAGCGCTCTAACCACCCTAACCACCGTGACAGAGGCGGCCTCGGCTCAAACACTAGGTAACTCGTCCCAGGCTGCACAGCTGGTGCGTCGCATCACACAGCTTCCTGGATGCATCTCCAGAGCATCCAGAGCTCGGTGACTCTCTACCCTGCTCTCCCTGGGCACTATGACAGTCTCCCCTGAGTCACCCAAGTCCACCTGGTGGGCCTGCCAGCATCAGCCCTGACAGGTGCTTATCGGAGCTGTCCTTCACCAGGTGGTGGCTCGCAGACTGCAAGTCATTCTCCCTCCTTCCATCGCCATACCATGGCCCCGGGGCACGTGGCCACTGAGCCGGGCTGTGGTTCTTGCTAGAGAAATGGTGACGCGTGCACCTTGCCCCTCACTTGCTTACAAGGCAGTTCCTCCCTGTGGGTGGCCCTGGAAGGACTGCTGAGGGTGCAGGAGGCGCCCACTGGCCCGGAACCAGGGGGACTGCTTAGCCTTCACGCCGCCTCACACAGGGGGTGAGGGCCTGCAGTTCTGTGGTCGGTGGTCCCAGTGTGGTCCGGGAGCAGCGGCATCGGACCTCTGGGAGCCGGTTAGAATGACTCCCAGCCCCACCCGGGCCTGGCCGAAGCAGAAGCTGAGGTTGGGCTCAGGAGCCTGTGTTGGGAGAGGCGCTCCAGTGACTTCACACACGTAACGGTGTCTGGCTGCTCCTGACAGCAGAAGCGTGCTGCCCTTTCAAGTTGTGAGCTGGTGGGAGTGACCTGAACTAGTGCTGGTGGCCTCCACTCCCCACAGCCTCAGGGAGCCTCTTCCCGGGATGGACAAGGGGGTCTGCCTGAGCCAGCACTGTCCTTCCTGGGCCTGGTTCCCCCCAAATCCCTTCCGGCTGGTCAGCCTGTGGGTCCAGTGGCCGTGCAGCACCGCCGCGGTGCCAGAGACTTGGGGCTGGACATGACAGTCATGGGAAGACCTCAGGGCAGTCTGAGGCTGGAAGGGAGCCAAGAGCATGTGAAAGAGGAGGTGGCTCTTATAACCTGGGCCAGGGCAGGTTCCTGGCTGGGTGGCTCAGTTGGTTAGAGCATCATCCAGTTACACCAGGCTGGCGGGTTTGATCCCTGGTCAGGGCACATACAAGAGTCAACCAATGAATGGATAAATAAGTGGAACAACAAAAGTCGATGTTTCTCTCTCTCCCTCCCTAAACAATCAATAAGTACATTTTTAAAAATTAAGAATAATAAAAAAAGAAGAGACAGGAGGTCAGGGTAGCCCTCTGAAGTTTGCCATCTCTCACCAGTTAGCAAGAGAATATGATATTAAAATCCTTGTATGATTTTCTTAAATTGAAATCCTTTCTGGGGTATTAATTTCACCCATAAGCCTGCCTTTGCACTTCCGTTTTCCTTCTCTGGTTCTCTCCAGAGGCATCTTGTGGGGGAGGGGCTGGAGCTCCCTTGCTCTGAGCTCCTCATTAGAACCAGAGAGTGGCAGGCCTCATGTGGCCATGCAGCCCCTTCCACTAGCCCGGCAGGAGCTGCAGCCGGGCTGCAGAACAGAGCTGCAGGGAGGAGGGTAAGCATAGCATGAGCAGTGAGAAAACTCACAACAGTATTGGAATGGAGGGTGGAAAGACAAACAGAGTCAGGCAGGAAATGGCTGGAGATATTTTTAAAAGCTAGATGTTTTTACATCAGCAGGGTCTCATAATATGCACATTAAATTCCTTCAGGAATTAACAGATGTTATTAGAGATCATCATTATTCTTTTTTAGATTAATATGTTTTTATTGATTTCAGAGAGAGGAAGAAAGATAGATAGAAACATCAGTGATGAGAGAGAATCACCGATTGGCTGCCTCTGACCTCCTGGTTCATGGGTCAATGCTCAACCACTGAGCCACGCCAGCTGGGCGGTCATCATTATTCTTGAGACTCATTTAGGTAGAAGGAATCCCTAAGAATTAGGACATAGTCAATGAACTGCTTTGAGGCTGAAAATGGGGGTGGTGTCTGAGGGACACATGTAAAGAAAGGGCTTATAACTTGGGCAAACACGTAGGAGAAATTACAGGAGACTAACTTATGTGTATTGTGACAATAAGGCTACATGTGCAGGTAAAGGGGGAATGACAGGGTGAAGATGGTTCTGGTACAAATCACTATTGCCAGACTCACTGAACAGCAGAGTTTAGCTTTAGTTTCTTTAAGGGGAGTCACTCTTAGCCTGGCCGACATGGCTCAGTGGTTGAGTGTCGACCTATGAATGAGGTCATGGTTTGATGCCCAGTCAGGGCACATGCCTGGGTTGTGGGCTTGGTCCCCAGTAGGGGCCATGCAGGAGGCAGCCGATCAATGATTCTCTCTCATCATTGATGTTTCTATCTCTCTCTCCCTTTCCCTTCCTCTCTGAAATCAATAAAAAAAATTTTTTTTTAAAAAAGAGGAGTCACTCGTAATTGGTGTCTCTGTCTGACCACTGTCCTGAGCTCCAGGCACACACTGCCACCTCTGCTCACAGATCCTTGAGCGTCCATCCCAAAGGCGCCTGTTCCTGCTGCCGTGCTCTGTGGCAGAGGGAAGCCTCAGGCCACACATCTCAAAGAAGCTCTCCCTCCCCTCTCCTCCTGCTTCAAAGGAGTCTCCAACTCTTGTTAACCTGAAGTTTCCTAGGACTCACTCCCTTCTTTCCAATCCATATTTCAGGAATACTGTGGGCGTGGTTCCAGACCTCTGAAATACAGCGAATATTGCAATAAAGCAAGTCACATGAGGTTTTTGGTTTCCCAGTGCATATAAAAGTTGTTTTTGCATGATACTGTAGTCTTTGTGTGAAATAGCATTATGCCTAAAAACCAACGCACATGCCCTAATTTTAAAACACCTATGGATCCCACCGCTGCCACCAAAAAAAACCGTATTGCTAAAAAAATGCTGACTATTATCTGAGCCTTCAGCAAGTCATAATCTTTTTGCCGGTGGAGGGTCTTACCTTCAATTTGTAAGAAGTGCAACATCCGTGAAAGGCAATAAAGCCAGGTGTGCCTGAACTGCAGCCCTGCTCCTGTCCTGAATCTCAACAATAACTCAACTTTTTCAAATGGAATTTTGATCAAGTTACCCTACCCCCCTTGTCCCCCTTGATAGCTTCCTGTTATTCTGAGCAATCTGGGCAAGCTCCTTCCACAGTCCACAAGGCTCTGAGCATTCACCTTTTCTTGGTTGCTTAGCATACAAGGATCTTGAGGTTTTCCGGAGATGAAGTGCAACCAATTTAAAAAATTCCCACAACAAAAATTATCAGACCCACAGGGAAAAAATTCCCACAACAAAAATTACCAGACCCACAGGGAAAAAATTCATTCCCACAACAAAAATGTCCAGACCCACAGGGGGAAAAACCACCATCGAATTAAAGCATCAGTACAAAAAACACACAACAGATTTAGCTGTCTGTCCTTCCATTCTGTAATTATATACTTTCATTTGTGTGACTTTGATTATAACTGTCTCTTCTCTAAACTACGAGCTCCATGAAGCAGTGACTTTGACTCTAGGTGGCATACAGAGGTGCTCAATAAATAATTTTGAACAAGTGAATGAATGAATGAAAGAAAACTGCTCTTCCCAACTTCCCTTCTGTCAGGCCAGGGCTCTAGACTTTATGTAGATCCCGCCTATCATTAAGCAGCTAGCTAGACTCTAGATCCAATACAACAAACATAATTTAAGAACCATCACTAATTTTGCCAATAGTGAGGGAACTTCACAAGGACCTCTTCAAACAAGAGTGTAAACCAGGTTGTCTCCAAAGCTGCCCTTGGGCCAAACGCTAATACCTTGACCTTGAAGATTAAAGAACCACACAGAAGACTACATAGACTGTGAATCCCAGCTGAACCCAAGTCTCATAAGTTAAGTCAAGATCTGGAAGGGGCTACACTTTTAGCAAAAGCATAGACCAGAAAACTTCCACCCACCAGTAAAGGGAACCCACAAAGAAATATGCCTCTCTGTGTGTGGTGGGAAAAAATTAAGAATAAGATCGGCTCCCCTGTGAACCAGGAACCAACCACATGCTTGTTCGTTCACATTATGGTACTTCAGGTCTGGGACACCTTCCTCCCAGAAATTAATTTATCATGGTGTCAGCGCCCCCTTGTGCCTGATTGGAGCAACTACAATTTTTTTTCTAAAGGTGAGCAGCCTAAATCAGGATCTTGAGGTTTTCCAGAGATAAAGTACAACCAATTAAAAAAATTCCCACAACAAAAATTACCAGACCCACAGGGAAAATAAGCCACCATGAATTAAAGCACCAGTACAAAAAACACACAACAGATTTAGCCCCCCAAGCATTTCAGATATTAGGTTTATCAGATATAGAAAGTAACCATGCATAAAATATTTAAGTGCATAAAAAGAAATAAAAGAAAGACAGTGTAAAAATTATTCTAAATATTTGAAAAAAAAAAAACCACCCAAATAACTGTCAGAGCTGAAGAGAACTGGAGGTAGATGGGAAGGAACTCGAGCGCAATGCAGAGATATAAGAAGACGCGACCCATCTTTCTGCCTCTGGACTCTGCATCCAGTCCATCATCTTCTCAAGACTGATGATGACGGTGCATAGTGATTAAAATAGTACCTGGTAAACTCCCAACAATAAAGATAAATAAAATAAAATAGTGCCTGGCAAGTAGAAAACACTTTATAAGTATAAATTTGTCTAATCCACATGACTGACCTGTATAGTTGGTCACTTGCTATCTCTCCCTCTAGTGAGCACCTAGGAACAGGCACTGTGCCTTATTCACCTTTGCTGCCCTGGAGCCTGTATGCTTTCTGAACATAGAGGGTGTCTGTTACAGGCTTGTAAGGAAACTGAAATAATGCACATACTATTTTTTGCCACCCCTTACTTTGCATGTGGCAGTGCCTGCAAAATTGAATAGGACTGCCTTGACCTTGATTTTTAAAAACTTGGTCTGTTGGAAATAGTCCTCTTCGGCTCCTCTCACCCCTTCATACCCGATGCTCTATCCATGAGGCAGTCCCACCAACTCAGCAGCTTCCTGACTTGGTTTCTGGTTTCCACCTTTGCTCCCCACCTTCCCATGTTTTTCACACAGCAACTAGAATTAGATTTTTTTAAAATATAAAATATAGCCCTAACCAGTTTGGCTCAGTGGATAAAGCATCAGCCTGCGGACTCAAGGGTCCCAGGTTCGATTCCGGTCAAGGGCATGTACCTTGGTTGCGGGCACATCCCCAGTGGGG